AGAACAGATTCCCCCCCCACCCCACCCCACCCTGACCCCATTAAAACATTTGTCTAAATGTCTTGAAACTGATACCATAAATAGTACTGGAGTTTTTAAAATGCCATAGGTGGTTTTTTTTCTTGGGCATGGAATTTCAGCATCTGAAAGAATGTCAGCATCTGATTGAACCATATTGTACAATGCTAAAAAGCAACTTCAGAGCTGGAGGTTTAGCTCGGTAAATTCAGGTGGAACTTATCTTGCTGTGTTCAGCCACACAAAGGCAGGGAGCAGCTCACAAAAGGGCTGTGTTATGCCATTTCTTTGTTAGGTGCCTTCCAACGTCATCGTACGTGACATTCTGTCATTTAAGCTGAATTAAAAATAGAATGTGATAGAATGGTGCAAATAAAAAATAGCAGCCAGGAAAGCACAGAAATAAGATCATAGGCAAACAAACTAACTGGTTTGTCCCTCCTAGATACACTTTTAAAAATCTACTGTTTTTTTATTAGCTGTCTTAGTTCAGAAAGGACAAATATGAAAGTGAGATCATGCAAAAGCAGAAAAATTCACATGAAGCTAAGCAGAAACCTGAATTATGGATTAATTGTGTGTGCAGAACAGTGGCAGAATAATCTGAAATGTCATATTATCTGTACTTGTATCCAGAGTCTGAATTAAAGACTCATTGGGTTGGTTTAGTCATTTTTATTTATTTTATTTAGTAAAATTTATATACTGCTTGAGTGTAAAAAAAGAAACCCTGCTGAAAGTTTACAAAAAGATAAAATCCAAGGACAACTTAAAACAATATGTACTTTAAAGCATACAAAAATAAAACAAAACATTAAAACAAATTAAAAGTAACCTCAACTTTCTAAGCACCTTGGTAGACTTGTCTAAAAAAGAATGTTTTTAGCAGGCGCTGAAAAGAGTGCAGTGAAAGCTCCTGCTTGATATCAGTAGGCATGGAGTTTGAAAACATAGGTGCTGCCGTGCTAAAAGATACAAATTCATACAAATGTGGAACGGGTATGATGTGGCACCTGTGGTACTGCCAGCCTAATAAAACCATTGCCAATCAGACACAGAATGAGCCTTGCATCCACAAACTTCTTCAGAGGTTTGTAAACAGAGATTAAACTATAGTTTAATAGGATGAAACAGGAAACTGTCAGTTGAATCAACCCTAGAAGTACTGAATTATGGCATGCAAGAGAAAGCAGAAGAGGAAGCCCACATACACAAGGTTTGTTCTCAGTTAATAAACCATTAGACTTATATTATGACAGGACCAGTCCATTAAATCTCTCAGGAACAAAAGTTGGCTCAGTAAAATTTACTGACTTTATGTTGCTTCTGCATTACTCTCTAAAAAGCTCTGCAAAAAACACCCTTTTAGGAAAGGACCTGTAACTGGGCTGTAAGGTAAAAAAGGGTAAAGGACTCCTGGATGGCTAAGGCCAGTCAAAGGTGACTATGGGTGTGGCACTCATCTCGCTTTTCCGGCTGAGGGAGCCAGCGTTTGTTCGCAGACAGCTTTCTGGGTCCTGTGGCCAGCATGACTAAACCACTTCTGGTGCAACGGGACACCGTGATGAGTGCCAGAGCACACAGAAACACTGTTTACCTTCCCACCACAGCGGTACCTATTTATCTACTTGTGCTGGTATGCTTTTGAACTGCTAGGTTGGCAAGAACTAGGACAAAGCAACGGGAGCTCACCCCATCAAATGGATTTGAACCGCCAATCTTCCAGTCGGCAAACCCAAGAGGCTCAGTGGTTTAGACCACAGCGCCACCCCCATCCCTATAACCTGGGCTGTACATAATCAAGGCTAGCACTCTATTCAGTATATTACAGGCAGATATTGCAAACTAGTTCCATATATTTCACTTATATGTGCACAACTCTCTTAAATAGTTGACACAGGAGTCTACTGGGTTTGAAAACTTTTGGGATAGCTTTATAAGCAGATATGTAGAGAAAATAAATACTTGTTCTTTAAAATATCTGTGGTTGTTGCCCAAACTCACATAGCTAAGATCAACATATTCTTAAAATAAAAACCTCTTGTTGAAGTCAGCCACTTATTTAATTTCAGTCCTTAACCTCTATCTCATCTATCTATCTATCTATCTATCCATATCTATCATCTCTCTATCTCTCTATCTCTCTATGTCTCTATCATCTCTCTATCATCTATCTATCTCTGTGTTAAAATAAGCATATTATCTCCCTGTTTCTTGCCCAAATATTAGTAAAGTATTTTTACTATATCAGAAGTAGGATTCTAAGCTGGCAACCATGATCTATTACTACTAATTTTTATATGACTATAAAGTATGATCTAGCTTATAAGTCTAGACATTTCAATGAGGATTTAAATTTCCAATAATTCTTGAATGAGCAATGATCGATCTTAATCAAAGAGATTAATAAAGTATAATTGTAATGTTCAAATTTGTAAGTGATGAAACTTTTCTTAAAGTGGATCTAGGTTATGTAGAATATTTGACTCAACTGTACATTTATCAAGTGTCATTAAATATTTTAAAATGAGAATACACTGGAAAGAGAAAACCGAGACTGCTAATATAGACTCATGGCTTCATGGGAACAATATTTGGATCATTTAGCACCTTTTCTTAATTCTAGTAAAAAATAAATAAATGGCATTAGTCAAATATTCAAAGAACAAGCAATAGTTCAACCAGCAAGAACATGGGTTATTTTATGATAAATACTTTGCAATTGAATAATGACTATGATTCATTTTTAGCGTGTTTGAAAATGTTTCTATATGCATTAGCATCAGGACAAAGCAAGCCGGCATTGTTTTACATCATGCCCTCTAGAAAGTCTGGATAGGAACCAATAATACACTGCAGTGCATGGCAAATGAGATTTATCACACAAGTGCATCTGTCTAGGTGTATCAATAACTTCAGACATTGTTGGGTTGTAAATTCCAACATTATGTGAGGAGAGAAAAGGTTTGTGACAATGTTAGTAACTGGGATCAATATAATCAGCTAATGCAGAATGTCCTGGAAAAGTCCTGTACAGATCTATTTCTAGCCTATTTTGTGCCCAGGCTATGAAGAAATATATTTGCTGGATATTCTTCATCCTGCTGGATTACAAGTTGTCCTTCTTCCTATGCTTCTTCCATACCTGCTTTGACCTTTTGAGCTCCTAAGGCCTCTACTTGTACAGACTTTCTTCCACCAGTCTACACACACTTACACACATGCATACACAGAGAGAGAGCTTTTAGTCCCAGTCAACCCATGTTTTCTGTGTAACAGGGTTAACAGGGAACCTGTAATTCTGCAGGAAGAGCTTGGACCAATCATTGTTGCTTAGCCTAACCTACCTCAGAAAGTTGTTGAGAGGAGAGGAAAGCCCATGTATCCCACCTTGAGCACCTTGGAGGAAAGGTGGGATAAGAACATAATAATAATGTAGCACATTTTCAAAGTTTATCACATTAGAATGCAACAACAACAAACAAGAGTCATACATATATGAATGAAAAGCATTGTGCCATTATAACCAGAGATTTTTTTTTGGGGGGGGGGGGGTCCATCTGCGGCTGCCCTGAGCAGGGAAATGACTTTCAAGATCCCATCCAACTCATCAGCTAGCACGGATGGAGCCAGGAAAACGCACATGCTAAGAAGCAGGTTCTGATAAAATGAGAATGCAGATATTGCCTATGAAATATAATGCTTTTGCTATGTGGATAAACTTTTGCCTTTTCTACTTTTAAAAGAATCAAGAAATCATTTTTGGTTCAAGATCAGTGTTCGCCCTCCTCCTACTTCTCTTTTCAACCTGGTAATATTATTAATGTACCAAGTAAGAGAAACTGATACCAGTTTAATGAACTACATGAATACTTATGCTAGTCAGATGCTATATACTACAACAGGCAAGAAATAGTGCTACCTTAAAAGCAGTGACTTTAAGATAACCCCTACATTTAAATACAGTGGTACCTTGGGTTACATACGCTTCAGGTTACATACGCTTCAGGTTACACACTCCGCTAACCCAGAAATAGTGCTTCAGGTTAAGAACTTTGCTTCAGGATAAGAACAGAAATCGCGCTCCGGCGGCGCGGTGGCAGCAGAGGCCCCATTAGCTAAAGTGGTGCTTCAGGTTAAGAACAGTTTCAGGATTAAGAACGGACCTCCGGAACGAATTAAGTACCTTAACCCGAGGTACCACTGTAGTTGGAAAGGGTTGCTGTTACCGGTATTTCTTTTTTCATTTTTGACAGATTAAGTTCCTTTTGTCAATCTTGAAATAAATTTCCATGTTCCTATCATTCTTGTAAAAACCTATTTTTGTGAGTAATTTAGTTGAAATTATATTGCACTGTAATAGAAATTATTGACTTAATAAGAAATTAAGTACAATTCTGAGATCTGGAGAAAAAGCTTAAACAACAGTGAAGGCTCTACCTATGTTTTTCTAAAACACCACAATATTCAGGCATATCAATATTACTGCTGAGCCCAAACCACATGCCTAAGAAGCTGTGACATTTTGAAATATGAATGTGCTAGTGTCCCAGCCTCATAGCTGCAAGTTTATTGTTTTATACCTCTCTTTACAAACTTGCTTAGTTGTGGGTGTGAATTGTTTGTGGTCAAGCCTATTAAATATCTTCATGGCCCATAGCAGTAGAAATGAAAATTATGTATCTTTGCTAACCACACCAGAGATAAATGAAAAGCTAAAAAAAAAGGGGTCAGTGCCACACTTTGCTGAATATGAAATTGTGGAGGTAACGACCATTCGGAATGTTATTTTGGAATTGACTGACAGAACATGCCTGCATGAAGGGTCTTAAGAACAGTATGTGCTCTTACCCCTGTCACTTCAGGACAGCTCAAGTCAAAGTGTGAGGCCATCAGTGAGATGCATGCTGGTATGTGATTTTATTTTGGCACATAGATGTTTATGGGGAAATGGAAAAGTACATCTAGCAGTTGACTGTGAATGACACTGTCAACCAGTAAAGCAACAGCTTGGTGAGGTGACTGTTATGAGGCCATGGGGACTAAGATGAGAAGCTATTTTTAATTATGTTGAATTAACAAGTAAGTTTCTGCTTTTTCTTTGCCCCCAAAATAAATGGAGTATCTATTTTGCTAGAAGTGACTAGTGAATGGTCTGTGACCACTTAATGGTTGAGTGGTATAGAAGCAAAGATCTGGTTATTGGTCTGTGTTAGCTGTTCTGCTCTTTTCTAAGAAGAAATAGTGGTATGCATGTATGTAGATTTATTACAAAGATAATTATTAAAAGTAATAGATTGTTTCCAAACTTCATCCTGCTCAGACTAGATTCATTGGAACGTATGGACCTCAGTTACTTATATTCATTACTTTCATTGGGTCTAGAAGTAGCTTTGGATACAACCTTTAGAATTATAGAATTATGTAGCTACACAAATAAACAGCTTTAGTCTATTCTTTAAATGGAATTTACCAAAAGCTACAAATCCATTCTAAGGCAGTGTTAAGGATCTGTGATGGCAGTATCTCCATCAATAATAAAAAAGACAAATCTATCTCTCCTTTATTCAATGTGAAATGTCCTGGAAGGTTGATAATGCTTTTTACCCCAAAGTGTATTTGATGACTTACAAAATGAGTGTAAGAGTCATAGAAAAGAAAGAAAGAGGACATATGGCTGAAAAGTGTAGTCCAAATCTAGTATTCTCCATCACTGAAAATCCACAGAACTGGTAAAACTGCAGAGTGGTTTTATAATTCATAATTCTAATAGAGGAACCCAGGCACCTTCAGACACTACATTGGTATATTGTGCAACTTGTGTTCCTCCAAGTAAGATCTTTTCTTTTTAAAGGCTTATATATATGACAGCAACAATGACAAATGAGAATACTAATGCACAAGGTCCAATTATTTCATACTGATTTCTTGATAGAAACAATCAAGAGCTTTGTGATGCCTTAAAGACCAACAGCTATGGCTGCAACCTTTCGAAGGGAAAAAGTCTACTTCACCAGGTGCATTACTGAGTAAAAATGTTCAGGATAAGAATATTGACCTGTTCAAGCCTTGCCCACCCTAACTAGGATAAAGCAGCCCTTTGCCTTGAAATTTTGTAGCTTTGGTTGTGGCTAGAAAGTAAATGTGTTATTTATGTATTAGCTATTATGCCTAGATATGACGAGTTCTGCAGCAGAGCTGATAATATGATGATGTGGTTTCTCTCCACTGCTGAAACAGAATAACTTTTAGTGTGCAAAAAAAAAAGACCTTTTAAAGAAAATCTAAACCGAAAAATAAGCATTTCAAATGGAATGTACTTGGGCTAATAACATTTGGGTTGGGTTAATAATATATGGAGTATTGTTCTATCAGAATGCCTCACATACCACTGGTGACTAATCAAGGGCATCTCTAAAAAAGAGACCTTTGATACAATATGGTCTCCATTTTTCCTCTTTTATTGAAGAAGAACAGGATATTTTAATGTCATCATCATCATCATCATCATCATCACAAGGGTGTCTGTGCAGGAGAAATATTCATTGAAAATGTTAGCTTTTCTTCCTTTTCTTTTCTTTTTAAGAAAGTAAACTACCTGTTTGTTAAGTCTGGCACCGGAGGTCCTTCTCTAAATATTCCTGCTGCTTTGTAGGCTTTCTTAATAATAATTACTTTTATTTATAAGCCACCACATGACTGGGTTGCCCGGAGACCCACATTTTAGACATTTTTTTTAAAAAAAAGATTGCCCAGGATTTTAACTGCTTTTATATCTAATGCTTTTTGTATTTTTACTGTTGATATGATGATTGCTTTTGTTTGTGATGTTTTTGATCTGTTTTATATTTGTTTTATAGTTCTCTTTTGAAGGCTATCTTGAAAATCTAGATTAAGGGGGAAAACTTTTTTTTATTGGAATGTACTCTGTGTGTGTGTTTCCTACTTCTTTTCAGGCCAGAATTTTTAATCCTCGGAGTTCAGGATGGAAAAGTTTTGCTTTCCCCATAATGGCTGGAGCGTCTCATTGCCTGTCAATACACATATTTATTGTTTTGCTAAGTTAGTTCAATTTGCTCCAGGAAGCCACTTTGCTCTTTTGATTTCAGGCCACGACTTGACAGCACCCATCAAGTAACCCAGCTAATTACCAAGTTAAAGCATAGCCAGGAAATGTACTGCTCTTAATTATTGTTAAAATCCAAATAGTGTCCTCATGCTCAAAAAAGGATATGGATTCAGCAAATGCCTCTGCTAACAGAAGGGGAGGGCAGGAGATTTGGAGCAATTTGCAATTCCCCCTGCAGCCCCTTCCATACTTCCTTGTGTAGGGTGCTCCAAACTGTCTGGAGCCAGTTTTCAGGAACTCCTGGTGGTTGCAGGGAGAGTGAAATCAGCTAGAGGTGCTTCTCCTCATCTTCCATTAGAGGAAGTCAAAAGGGCACCAGGAGGTTTCTATTTAATTTATACAAAAGACATGGGGCACAGTCCTTGTTTCTTGGCCCCCATTCATACAGTCAGCTGGAGGTGGTATTGAAATCACATTGTGGAGGAACTTTGTGAGTACTTCCTCTCTACCATGGAGATAGCCCCCGTTATGATCTTTGTCATGTGTACTATTTCTTCCCCGAAGAAGAAAAAGAAGAGCAGGCTCTCGTCTACTCTTGCTCACACAGATGTCTCTGTCCATACTGTGGGAATATCATTAAAAGATATAAAGATATAAAAACTGATAATTGTATATGACAAATGTAGAAAGGTATGGCTGTAGTGCCAAAGGCCGTAAAGTTAAAGTGGACGTATGCAGGAAATGTGACAATAGACAATTCAGTCCGATGGAATAAATTGTAAAGTCTCCATATGTTAATATGGAGACTCTATAATTTCAAAAGACCAAGGGGACCACCACCGGTTCTTGGTGGATGATCCAAAACTAACAGCGGGGCTTGTGTTGATACAAGAAGCAAACGAGAAAATTATGGAGAGAACATGAAGAGGTGCATATGGAAAGATGGATGTGAGAAGACCTCAGAATTTTGTTGCTGCTATGTCAGGAACGTATTTGTGATTGGTTGAAATAATCTCTTCACATGAGTCAGGAGCTATGTTTCAAATATGTAACCAAAGTTCACATACGTTAGACATACTTGTTTCATGTACGCACTGATTTCCTCATTTTACAGTTTACATTTCCTATTGCCAGTTTTTTAATCCCTTCCATCCCTCTGCTGTTTTTTTGGTTGGACATGGGCTGAATGTAAGTGACCCTATATTTCATTTCAGTCAAGGATGTGATGATAAATAGCACACTTTGTGCTGCATAGGTGCACGTGATGAATCATACAGATATCGCTAAAAGCCTTCAGCACTCTCCCTGGTACCTTTCTTAGCATCTGTGCAATGCCAGATATGTAGGAATGAATGGAACAACCTAATCATCTGAAATGCTTTTTGAAATGTGCTAGCAAGATGGATCTAGATGGATTTTACATCAGAGATCATATTTATCCATTCCTCTGCTACTTGGTGGTATTACCAGTGAGGTGATCTATTAATGTTACAAGGAGAAATTTTCGTGATGGGGGTCAGGTGGTTGAAAATGAATTTAGCTTATTTTTTTCCACTCCTCACTCTGTTCCAGCTAGTTGATTTTCTCGGCTCTCTGATTTTTTGCTGCACTGAGAAAAACCCTCTGAAAAGTGCAATTAAAGATTTTCTGAATCAGTGGCTGTTACTTACAAATACAAAAAATAATTTAAAAAGCCCCATACCAAAGTTTGATTTGAGATAATATTTCCCATCCCTTCTTATTTTCACAAAACTGCTTTAACCGTAGCTGTATTATAATAAGTCATCTCACTTATAGGCCAGATCATAAATTTGTTTCCAACATCTTTATGGCCTTCGAAAAAGCAGAGATGAATTGAGCACTGTGGGGCTGACTTAATTGGCTGAAACGCTTTTAAAATGTGATGTGGTGTGATTTAATCAGACTGTGGCACTAATGGAGTTAAGCACTCTGTCCACTAGGAAATGATATGATCTTTCAGAGTTCTAAGTGCCTGTTTATGGCTCTGTTGAAGGTGCTCTTTTATAACTCCTGCATTCTAACCCATTGCCTGGGGTTAGAGGGTTTTTATTTTATTTTTAAAAAGCAGTTATGTACTACAAAATGTAGAGTGCCTAGGTCCTTAAGCTGGACTTCATGAAATGTATTCTTTAAAAAAACCAATCAATTATGCAATAAATAAATAAATAAATCAGATGAACGTTCTAAAACATCTGATAGCAAATGGACAAATCTTCCCTTTCCTCAACAGCAGCACATCTGCACTCATGCCCACATTTCAGAACTATCTGTAAATAATCTCATTTTCTATTAAATCAGCATTAGCTTGACCAAATTACAGTGCTTGAACAGTACTAATGGAAAGCGCTTTAGGAATTCTCTGGCCTTATTTCACATTGAGAATATGAAAAAAGAACCCTGCATTTTCCTAAAATGGAAGTGCCTGTGGGTATCGTCCAGTGATGTCATATTGCACAACAAACTTCTGCTTGCACACACAGGATTTCCCCATCCTCTTCTCCCCCTGTAACCCCTCTCCCATGCCCCAAAATCTTCTCCAGACTGTTGAGGTACCCTCTGCAGCAAATTGAGGGGTGCAGGAGTAAAGAAAGGTAGAAGGAGAAGTTTAATCTCCACCCCAGTTGCCATCACCCTAGCCTTCAAATGCCTAAAACAACGAGTTTACCTCAATGGAAAACTCAAAACAAAATGGGAAACTTGCCACTCTATTTTACAGTTAGACAGTCCTCAGTGATTGCTTGTTGCTTCAGTAAGTCAATCTAGTTGAACCTGGATATAAAAATCCCTGGTGTTGTAGTTGGTTTAAGAATCTCAGATTCCAAACCCAAGTCAATTATGTGGGGTTTGTGTGTGTGTGTGTGTGTGTGTGTGTGTGTGTGTGAAAGAGAGAGAGAGAGAAAGAGATACTTAAGGCATTCTAAATACCACAAAATTCTGAGGGATAAAATAAAAGTACAATGTGATAACTGAAAGATGTCTGCTTCTTTTTGGCTTCCTAGTATGGTCACCAAATTCTGTTCCATCACGGTGAGATTGATGCCTTCAGGCAAGAGGAAAGCTAAGGGCCAATGGTATCAGATCAACCAGACTGCAGAGTCTGCAATGTCAATGACATAGTTTGAATACCACCCTATTTCTTCAGCTATATTTCCAGTCTTCTGTTTTGCCAGGTACTGTATGTGCCTCAATTCCCAGATATGCTATAGATTATGTGGAATCAACAAATCTGTATGATTGGTTAATCTTTAAAGCCTGATGCTAACATTAGAACTACTACATACAGAATATGACTGTAGTGTGATATATGGATATATACAAAAAATAATAGGAATTCATATGATATACAAATATGCTAGTCGAGGAGCTCCTTATATGAGAAAATAGTATATACATGGCTTCATTTCATTTTCTTACTTTGACGACAAAAGCAAATTTAAGTCTTCATATATTGCAAATTGAAACGAACAGCTGCTCAGTTTCTTCATAAACTTTAATATGGTTGCTATAAAACCTAATTGTGATGTTTAATAAGTACCTTTACTGGTAAATTCTAATTAATCTGAGATAGAGGGAGGAAAAAGAAGTCATTTTTAAAAAAACGGACTTCCTTTCCTATCCACTTCTAATCTGAATATAACCTAATGAGGCAAATTTAGTTCGATATTTAGCCTAGCCATTTTTCTCTGGCGGCTAAAGAAACAACAGTTGTTGGGTTTTTTTTACAGCCATTATACATGTAGTATAGCATTGCTAAGGCTATTGATTTAGTCAATAACCATTTATTCACATCTAAACTAAGTATAATTGGATGGGCACAAGATAAACTGTAACACAGTAGTTACCTAGTTAGGCACAGGAAAAGCCGAGAATGAGAACAGAAGCTGGTCCCTTCCTGCCATAAATGTATTGTATCATGTACCATGTACTTCCACTAAAGTGTTTCTGAGGATTTCAGTGAACCACTTAGTAGTAGTAGTAGTAGTAGTAGTAGTAGTAGTAGTAGTAATAGTTTAACAAATCAAAGCTCATGTTTTAACAGTGTTTATTTTCTTTGTCTCTGGCATCATCATCAAAATCAGCATTGTATTATAAAATCATATGTCCTAAGACAGACCATTAGTACATTTTTAAAGGAAATATGAGTACAGTGAACTAGCAGTTTATTATAAAATCGTGGGTCCCAGCTCCAAGTCTTGTTGGCTAGTTTGATAACCCAGTTCTGGTCAAAAATGGGCCAACCACGAGAGTCAGAAAGCAAACTAATCAAATGCAGAAACAAATACAAATATTCTTGACTTTTTTTCAATCTTTCCATGGCCCACTTGAAGGGAGCTCATGAACCACAATTTGAGCATCTGGCTGAGTCCATAGAAAGAGAGAGCTAATTAGTACATCCAGGTAGATTTTTTATTATTATTCTTTTCTCAGCCAATATACACATGCAGAAGATTCATTGCTGGGCCTACCATTAGGCAGTGTGAAGCAGCCAAACCAGGCAGCAAATGCTAGGAGATAGGGAGCCAGCAGGGTTGGAAGTGGCTATTTTGGCACCAGGACCAACAACATGAAATGCATCCCATAGTCAACCATGTATGTAGTGACATAAAAAATTAACAACAGTTGTAATAACATGATAAAAAACCCAAACATATTTATTTAAATTACATTGTAACATTACATTATTACGTGCAATCGCATGTAAAGGAGAAACATTAAAAAAATCATAATTATTCTATCAGTAACTTTACACATTATATTTTTTCATGCAGTCCCTTACCAATAGTGTCACCTAATACATTATTAGAATGAATACATTTTATTTTTGTAAATAATATATATAGGTCTATTACAGTATGGAAACATTTAACATTAATCATGATTTGACACCCCCTTGATTCAGGTGCCCTGGGCACAGGACACCACCCTAGTTGCATCCCTTGGGAGTGGCAGGGAAGTGTTGGAAGACAGAGTTGTATGTTCCATGTGACCTGCCCTACACTCCACAAAGCTAGTTAGTGCCCTCAGTTACATGGGTCCTGGCTTCCATCTCAGAAGCAATGTCAGAGGCTCCTACGTGTGTGTAAAAAAGAAAGCTTTAATCAATGCTTCCAGTGATTTTGGTCAGACTAAGAGCACAGATAGCAAATGGTGCAACTAAGAGGTGAAGAATGATATCAGTGGATCCAAAAAGAGACTAAAGTTGTGAAGTTGCCTCAACAACTGGTCATGTCCCTCCCATCAGCTTCGGACGGAAGACGTGGTACACTCAAAAGAGCTCTCTCTTTCCCCATGAGATTGGTGTGCTTGGAGGTGTGTGCTAGCTGTCCAGCCTCCTCCAGCTGTCCAGTCTCCCCTCCTGGCAGATTGACATCTTCCCCTGTTGCTAGGGAATCTTCTGCTCTGTGCAAGCAGCTTGACGGAGCCACTCATGCTTCCTCCCTTCCCTGGCTTCTAAATGCAACAGAGTAGGGGTAATATCCTTCCTCTCAGCCCACTCCCTGCCAGTGGAGTGCTCTGTGCTCTCTTCTGACTCATCTGACAGTAACAGTCCCTTCCAGCCCTAAACCAGTTGGAACTGAAGGACTCACAGCACTGTCCTGTCCCCAATGTTGAAATAAGGTTCAATTACCAGTCTGAGCAGCTCCTGTATGTAGAACTGGGCAAGTAATGGGAGGTTGGACGAGCACTCATATCTGGTCCTTTGCCTCAAGCAATGAAATATATTGGGCTGGCTCCAGCAGACTCCTCTATGTAAGAGGACTGGATCACATCAGTCTGCTGGCAAGGATGCATATTGCCCTAGCGCTTTCTAGATGAAGGACTCAAATATTGTTTTCTGCTACTAGCTTTAATCAGATCAGTATGGTACATAAGCTATGCAAGGGTCACTGCTATAGCAGGCACATAGAATGTCTAAGCAAGCTGAGATGTGGATCCAACCTGGACTCTTGTTATAAAGGAGTGGAGTGGGGATGGCTTCATTGCAGATCTTCCCACCTCTCACCTTCATCTGACCAGTCCTTCCAGGATGATTCCTCAGGACTCATGACACATATGTTTCTTTTTTTTTTTTTAAAGCAATTTATTGGGTTTTACAGTAAGAATAAACATAGTAAACAATATAACATTTGTCTTAACATAGTTTCACATTTTCTTTGGACTTCCTCACATCTCCCGCTCCCACTTTCATCGTTATAACATTTTGTCAGCAATTTATCATCTTATTTAAATTCTTATATCTCTTCAATATTTCATAATCTTATGGTTCTCATAGAGAGTTAAACTTTCACAGTCTTACTTATTTTCTTAAAAACTTCTTAGTTAAGTGGTGCTCAGTTATTTAGTCTAGCATCTTGTTTAGCATTCACTCAAATCACAATATTTTTGTAGATAGTTCTTAAATTTCTTCCAATCCTCCTCGATTCTCTCTTCTCCCAGGTCACGGATTCTGCCGGTCATTTCAGCCAGTTCCATGTAGTCTATCAGTTGCATCTGCCATTCTTCCAGTGTGGGTAAATCTTGAGTTTTCCAATGTTTTGCAAGAAGTATCCTTGCTGCTGTTGTTGCATACATAAAAATGTCTGGTCCTTCTTTGCCACCCCTTGGCTGACAATACCCAAAAGGAAAGCCTCTGGTTTCTTGGTAAAGGTATATTTAAATACCTTTTTCAATTCATTATAAATCATTTCCCAGAACGCCTTCACTTTAGGGCAGGTCCACCAGAGGTGGAAGAACGTTCCCTCACACTCTTTACATTTCCAACACTTATTATCAGACAGGTGGTAAATTTTTGCAAGTTTAACTGGGGTCATATACCATCTATAAATCATTTTCATTACATTTTCTTTCAGAGCGTTACATGCAGTAAATTTCAATCCATTACTCCACAACTTTTCCCAGTCCTCAAACATAATATTATACCCAATGTCCTGTGCCCACCTTATCATAGCCGATTTAACCATTTCATCTTGTGTATTCCATTCCAACAGCAAGTTATACATCCTTGAAAGTACCTTAATCTTTGGTTCTAACAATTCTGTTTCTAATTTCGATTTCTCCACCTGGAACCCTAGTTTCTTATCATTTTTAAAAACTTCTTTAATCTGAGCGTAATGTAACCAATCTCGCACTTTGTCTTTCATTTTCTCCAAACTCTGCAATTTCCAATTGTCTCCATCTTTTCTAGTATTTCCCAATATTTTGGCCATTTAGCCTCCATATTGGGTCTTTTTCGGGCCTTAGCTTCCAAAGGTGAAAGCCACCTTGGTGTTTTATTTTCCAGCAAGTCTTTATATTTTGTCCAGACATTGAACAATGATTTTCTGACAATATGGTTCTTGAAGGCCTTATTTGCTTTAACTTTGTCATACCATAAATATGCATGCCATCCAAAAACATTATTAAACCCTTCCAAATCCAACACATCAGTGTCTTCAAGAAGTAGCCAGTCTTTTAGCCAGCAGAACGCTGCGGCTTCATAATACAACTTTAAGTCCGGCAGGGCAAAGCCCCTCTTTGTTTTGCATCAGTTAATATCTTAAACTTGATTCTGGGCTTTTGCCCTGCCAGACAAACTTCGAAATATCTCTCTGCCACTTCTGAAAGCACTCCGTTTTGTCCAAAACCTGAAGTGTTTGAAATAAAAACAACATCCTTGGCAATACATTCATCTTAATAGCAGCAATTCGGCCTAACAAAGAAAGTTTCAATTTTGACCAACTGTCTAAGTCTCTCTTAATTTCTATCCAACATTTTTCATAGTTATCCTTAAATAGACTTAGATTTTTTGCTGTTATGTTTACCCCTAGGTAATTTACTATTTTAACCACATTAAGTTCCGTCTCATTCTGAAACCGTTCTGACTCTGTATCAGTCAAATTTTCCCCAAAACCTTAGTTTTCTGTTTATTTAATTTAAATCCCGCCACCCGACCAAAATCATTGATCAATTGTAATACTCTTTTCGTACTGGGCTCTGGCTTCTGCAGGGTCAAAACCAGGTCATCTGCAAACATGACACATATGTTTCGAGTGCATCCCCAAACCCTTCCAACATACAGGGATGGATTCAGTTAACTTGTCCTGCTAGCAGAAGTCAGGGCAAGGATAGTCACCTGCTCTATGGGGCTATTCCCTTCCTCTCTTCCCCCTGATCTCCTTAGTACTACATTGAATTCCACCAATAGAAAATTAGAACACCAGGGAAAATCTAGCCTAGACTGCTTCCCTGACAATGCTAGTTTTAAATGTGCAGGGACAGTGTGTGTGTGCATGTGCATGCTGGGAATTCATTCAAAGAAACAGCCCCTCGTCTGCAGTTTAAATGCTGTGGTAGGAACTACACAATGAGAAACTGCTGATTGTAAATAGAATATCATGCTCTTCTAAATGGATGGCAGGTCTATGTGGATATTTAAGAGAGGCATTATTTATATCTGACCTTGCATGCTTATCAATTAATGTCTTATTGATACTACAGCCAAAATTGATCCCTGCCTCCAGTTGCGGATTCTCTTGATGAAAGGAGGAAGAAAAACAAGCAGGTTTCAGTGTGTTGTTCTGCCCTCAGGAATAGTTTTCTTGAAATATCTGGCATGAAATACATTACTCTTAAACCCAGTAAAGATTTTGCTGTGATCTTTGTGAACTCAGAAAAGACCTTTCACTCTGCAAGGGATATTGGCTTGGAATATATTGGGTATGCAGAGCACTTTGCCAAAAATAGACTTACTTGTGCATCAAATTTTTACTTCTATGAAGTTTGGTAGTGGAATCAGGCTTTCTGCTGGATGAGGCAAAGGTCTCAGTTGCACTCAGTTGGTGCAGGAGAATCAGAGTTGCTGGAGGGAAAGAGGCAGTCAGGCCTAGAGTAAGAAGGCAAATTGAGCAGCAGCAACCCTGAGTCATTACTGAGAGTTACAAGAACAGAGCTGGCCTGTTGCCCAGGCAAGAGTTAAAAGGTCACATAGAAGAATTTGCAGGTAGTTCAGAATCAGCAGTAGTCATTGAATGTATAAGGGGCTTCCCTTATACAACAATGTTTTAGGTTTTTTTAAAAAACAAAACACATAAACAAATACTTGTTTAAATGTACATAGTAATCATAGGGAAAAATTGCAACTTTTAAAGATCTGAAAAGGAACTGATTTTTAATGCTCAAAAATGGGTGCACAGATTTTTGCCCTCTAGGGTCATATGTAGTGGTGGGTGTATGGTTGAAGACCCTCCAGGTGTCCCTATATTTGCCAGGGACGGTTCTGGATTTACAGAAGCCAGTTTCTGATTTGCTCCCAGAATGTTCTGCTTCTCCTTAGGATGGACCTATGGAGAAATGTTGAAGGGTATGGAGTTATGTGAACTCTGAGTCAAGGAGATAAGATACAACCTTTAGACATCTATATAAGGAAGTTTTTAAAAAATGTTTAATGTTTTATTATGTTTTTATATGTGTTGGAAGCCACCCAGAGTGCTTGGGACAACCCAGTCAGATGGGTGGGGTATTATTATCATTATTTTCATTGGAGAAATGTTGGAGGGTATGTGGTTGAGGACTACATGTCAGTGGTTGTGGTCAGTGATGGTCAAGGCCATGAACATACACATATTCAGCAAACACACATGCATTTCACTGGGATTACTGGTCTGCACAACCTTGTAATCATGATACTTGACAAATCACTGTCCGCACGCTACTAATAGCAATCTTATCTAAAGTAGGATTGATGAGGCATAGAAGTTCTAACTTTTCCCATGGCTGTGACCCAGTAAAGAACACTGGCCCTGCTCAGTTAACAGCTGGGCAGCAGGAAAAGGAGTAGCTCTGTGGGGCTAGATGAGCTGCACAAAGATTGGCCAAGAGAGGCTAAAATATCCCTTTGCCTAATTATTATTATTTATAAAATTTATCTACCACACCTCATCCGCGGATCACGGAGTGGTTTACAATATAAAGACACAAAAATACACAGTAACCAACAAAAACAATTATGCCCCAAAGACCACGAATGATGTTCGGATGAGTTAGTGTTCCTTGGTGCTCTTTGGCCCCATGTTCAAGTCAAATAGTCATGCTGCTGACTGCATGTATCACCTGACAGCTTGGTCTTTGTAAGCTTTTATTCAGTGGCACCTTACCTCTTTGTTTCCAAACAACAATTCTTCATTTTCTTTCCAAGGGGGAAAAACACTTGCATGAAATGTGAGATTGTCATTGTATGAGTGAGTAGTAAGACTGGCCCAATTTATCATTTTTCCCTGTACGCATTAATGTCAACTTTTCCATACCATATTTGCATGGCAAGAGATGAGAATGAAAAAGAACACCGTAAGTTACCATAGCATATGAAAACATTTTAAAAAACCAAATATTCATTCTGTTATTAGTTCTGCCACCATGAGGCACGTTCACTAAAAGTACTAATTAAGGAAGCAGGGGTGACTGAAGCATGAATGCCGCTGTATTCTTCTAGGTTCAATATTCAACATGGATCTTTTTACATTGGTACAATTGCCACAAGCTTTTCACATGTCTGATTCTGTCCAGGTCACTACGCATCAGGGGGTATAAATAATCAGTACCTGTAGTACAAGTTAGGTAGAAAAATAGTAGCTTAGATGCTCATCCAAGTGTAGATTTATGCCAGGATTTCGTTCCTCTTGATGGATGCATGTTTTGATAGGCATTCTGATGTGAATTAAAACGCACATTACCTCTGACATAGCAAGCACAACTAGTCATGCATAACTCCATATACCTGTTGCACATGCATGGACAAAGCCTGATGGAAAGAAGCAAAACAGTTTTTTAAATTATAGCCGACATTTTCCAGAGTGTTCTATGCAATGTATTTCCCTCATCCAGTTTTCTATGTGCTCAGTTATCACGGAAAAGCAGGACATTGGATTGAAAATGTTAGATAGCAATCAGCAGTTTTACACATACATACCAAAAGTTAACCAATATAGTTCAGAACCCCTCCCTCCTGCAGCAGAAAACATTTGTTTGAGGATCTTTTTGGCTGGTGAGGTAGAGGGAAAGGATATCCAACATATCAGGTTTTCAATGAATATTTGGCATAATTATTCTGTCTGAGACTTTAGCACTGAATGAGGGAGTAGAGGTCTTTCTTTCTTTCTCATATCTTGCCTTCCAAGGTGTGATATTTATAGGTACCATGCAGGTTGAACAACCTCAATGATTTTTTTGATGACACAGTCAACCTAGAACCATTTCAATATGAGCTTTGAATGTTAGCATGGTGATGTGAATAACACAGACAGAGTCTACAGAGAAAAGAAACTGACAATGCTTTACTGAGGGAAACTGAACAAGACCGTATAAAATATTAGCAGAAATAAACACTGGGGAGTTTGTCTTTCTTATAGGACTTGTTGAAAGCATGGAGTCAACAACATAGCCCATGAGAGTTCAAGTTACCTCAGCAAGGTTCATGTCATGCTGGCTGGTTGCTAGGCAACATCTTCATCTCCCTCTTCATTAGCTGACTGTCAATAGAATTAACCCTTAGATTATTAACAGAATGATCCCTGCTTTTGCTCTTGCAACACTGACTTAGGCAGTGTTAATGGCCCAGATTATAAATGTTTCCATAGATGTGAAACATCTCTGTGTTTATTCTGTTAGGTCCTTCAGCAGCTTTTAGATATTGTCCATTCCATTCTGCTTGGGCTGTCCCAAGTGATAGTGACCCATTGATTTAAATATGGTTTTATCTGCCCATGTTCAGAATGAAGTCATTGAGTTATATGAAGTCATATTCATCAATAGCTAGGAGCAATAATTTTACTACTACAACTTCCCTAAGAAGGTCAAATGACTAACTCTGCCCTTGTGGCATTCCAGAAAGGCTCCAAGAGCTTCCTATTTTGGATGACTTCCAGGGCTGACTTGATGTGTGTGTGTATGGGCATCTCTGAATCACTAGTTTTGCTGCTGAAAGTATTCTGGTTTTGATTGTTCATTGTCTATCTTAACTATGTTGTTTTATTGCATTTTATGTAAGTTACCTTTAATAATCAATAGTGAGCAGTTGCTGTTGTTTTTTGTGATATGTATAATGCAATAAAACATTGCAGTTTTACCACAACATTATTGTGCTTCTATGCTTCTCTTGGCAGACATGAGGTGCTCATCTAGCTTTTAACTGCTCCTGCCTTTCACAGCCTTGCCTTTCTAACTGCAGACTGAGACAATATAGTTATGGCAATGATGTGGAACTCTTGGACACATAAGAACTACCCTCATACACAAGCTTTCTGTTGCCAAGCAACTCTACACAAGCCTTGACATTTATCTCTTGTTGAACAGAGCAACTTGTTTTTTTTGCTTAAACCTCAGCTAATTGCATTATCAGAATCTGAATAAAATTTATTGAAGGAGTATTGATGAGCCTTAGATCCATGACAACACGTAGGTGGTGGAAAAACCCAGCAATGTGTGCTGGCACTACATGCCAAAGAAAAGTTACTACGTTAGCCAGTTTCTTAAATACATTGGAAATACTGGTCAAAAGGTTAATTTAAATTATGCTTCTGCATAGTTCTGAACAAATCCCACCAGAAAATCCCACCTGCCTTCACCAGGTTTCTTTTACCAGGGTGGCATTGGCCAGTGATCAAGAGCTGAGCCATGAAAGTGAGAGGTGAAAATGAGTTTATTTTATTTAGTTATTAAATTTTATATCCTGCCCTTCCTCCCAAAGAATTCCATCACCCCATGAGTCCCTACAGCTCTGCCTTGGTCTCCAGAGCTGTTGGAGGCTGGTTCTGGCTCATCCATTTTGCCTATTGTGCCACTAACTCTACCTCCAGAGTAACAGAAACCATGTGCAGTTCCACTTCTTCAGTTGTGGGGTTGTTACCCTGTCTGTCCCGCCCACCTCTGAGGAGGCAGCTCAAGGAGACACCAGCACAGAGATGGGAATGGTGAACCCATCTGGAGAAGTGCTAAGTTGCTTGCCCAGTATAAGAACTGGAACCACCCACTATGATAAGTTGTACACATCCCTTTCCCTTATAACAGGGTTGAAGGCTTTCAGTATACCTAAAGGAGCATGTCCACCCCCATCGTTCAGCCCGGCCACTGAGGTCCTGCACTGAGGGCCTTCTGGCAGCTCCCTTCCTGCGAGAAGTGAGGTTATAGGGAACCAGGCAAAGAGCCTTCTCGGTAGTGGTGTCTGCCCTGTGGAACACCCTCCCATCAGATGTCAAGGAAATAAACAACTATCTGACATTTAGAAGACATCTGAAGGCAGCCCTGTTTAGGGAAGCTTTTAATGTTTGATGTTTTATTGTGTTTTTAATATTCTGTTGGAAGCTGCCCAGAGTGGCTGGGGAGGCCTGGCCTGATGGGAGGGGTATTATTATTATTATTACTAATTTCAACATATTTGCTTGCGTAGACATACGTAGCACCTGCTGTGCCTTTGAACTATGTTTTGCCTACATATTGCTCTGATCCGAGCATTTAAAGATTTTGGCAGAAACTGCAACCTGAATTTGAGTGCTCCATTGAGTTACAGCCCAGACACACAGAGCATCTCTTCACACAGTGAAATTGCAGGCTCAGGGCTGCATGGGTATAAGAAATTCAGGCTAAAATGATTTTCTGCAACAACCTCCCCCTCTCTCCCTAACTACCTTAAACTACTGTTTGTGGTACCCTGAAAAGTGGGAAATATTTTCCTTTCCTAACATTCTTCTAACTGAATAATAAATACCCAGACAATCATCTATCACTCATATTGCACCTCACTGAATCTAGAAAGAACTGTACAAAGGCAGCCTTTAGTGGGTAAAATGAAAGAAAAACTGAAAACTCCACCTTTCATAATTATATTTATGTAGCACTAAGGAGCTTCCATAGTACTTCTGCACTTATAAAAAATAGGACTGTGGCACTGCATTCACATTGATTTTCCTCAACAGCAACAAAAAGATAAATAATGTTTTAATGTTCAACGGTAACTCAAAATGATAAGCAACTCCGTTGTCTGTGAGAGTCACAGCATAAAACATTGCATGTATTCAGTTTATAGATTCCTTGAGGAAATGGTGTCTGCAAATAGATCACAGTGAACTAGAATGGAAGGTTTTCAAATATACGCTTAAAAACACAATTTACTCCCCTGGGTGCCAAAACATAATTAACTAACAGTCCAATCCTACAGAAAGTTGACTGGAAAGGAAGGGGGGGGGGGTTCGTCCCTAACAAGTGTGGTTATGGTTGCAGCCTTCAGTGCATAAATGTCCCATTGCATCACAATCCTTGTTATAAGAGAAAACACCTCTCCTGTAAGGAGCGCAACCCTACAATTTAGACCTTCTGGGAAAACCCTGCTCAGAGTCTCCATCATACAAAACGTAAGATCTGTATGTGATATATGTGTAGGTAGGTGTTAAATAATGTGTGTATTATATAATCTTTTTGCTAGGTGACCATGCACATGGTCATATCTGAATGTAATCAGGAATTTCCTGTTGGTTTCTGGTTCTTATTAAAGATAGACAGCTAAAGTTCTTCTCTAGCTTCCTTCAGTGACAATGTGTTAGGAGAGAGGTTTTCAGCCTTTTTGAGTCTACAGCTCCCTTGACCAACTACATTATTTCTGTGGTTCTCTAGTGAGGAAACAAACTCTGAGTCTCAGGAGCTCAGTTATGTCACCCCTTGCCTGCCAAGCCATCAGTCCCTCACCCCTTTTTGGACATCCTCGCTTGTGGAGGGTTCCTTCAGCATCCTCTTCCCTCTCCTCTCCTTGGGAGTCATCACCCACTTGCTTGCTTACTCCAAGGTGACCCCAGCTCCTGGCAACCAGCATTCCCTGGCTGGCCCAGAGGCACCAGTCACCTGGAGAGCTTGTAACTTGGGCCACTGCAACAAACAGCTGCAAAGCCTCTAGAGGCAGAGACACAAGAGGGAGGAAAGGATGGAGGGGTGGAGGCTGGTTTCACTTGCAACACCCTGACCACCATTCAAGTCATCCTATTTTTTTTTAAATGATATTTATTGAGAATTTAAAATTACAGAAAAAGAAAGGAAAAAGCAAGAAAAAAGAAAAGGAAAAAAGGTATACAAAAAAAGAGATTAAACAATATAAGTCAATAAAAACAAAAGTAAAACAAACAAACAAAAAAACACACCCAATACATCAGAATCAAAAAAGCAAAAATAAACAAAAAATTTAAAAGCAAATCCAATATTCCCAAATCCTTATCTTTCAGTAACTTGTTCCATCGACCTCCTCACACCTCCCTTTTTTGTATTCTAGTTATTAATTATCTCAGCAAATCCTTTCCATCTTTCACAATATTCTGTCATTAAATTACCTTAATCTATTTTAACCTTATCTTACCATAAAAACCCTAAAGCTTAAAACTTAAATCTTATTTATACCTAATTCTTTTTAACAAAACATATTTATACATAATTCTTTTTAACATTTCTACTAAAGCCAAATAGTTTCATTCCAACATTTTTCTAATACTCATTAATTTTACAATGATTTTCTAAATGAATTTTTAAAACTTTCTTCCAATCTTCATCCGTCGTCTCTTCTTCCTGGTCTCGGGTTTTGTCAGTCCTTTCTGTTCCATCCATCTAGTCCATCAACCTGGTGACCTTCTATCCGAGGCTCTTAAGTCTTTTCCATGTCCCTTCTGCAGGTCTTCTTCATGTTTATACCTGCACTTTACTTTATCTTCTGCTGATCTTATTCTTAATTTCCTTCCTTTCTCTCCGGGAGACTCCAACTTGACAATATCTTTATCCCTTCTCGACAAGTCAGCCCATTCTCCATAGTCGACACTGAAATCCAAAAGATATTTAAAGGCATGTTTCAAAGTCCCTCCAAGATTAAGGGCCCCCACAACTCCGAACTCCCCCTGGCCCAAAGCCAGATCCGAAAAGTCAAAACATCCCTGCATAGGGGGATCTATCCAACTTCCCATCTCCAGACCAAACAGTACTCCATCTCTCCAAATCTGACTTTCTCCAGGTTCAGTCGTCAAAGACAGCAACTTATGTTCCTGCAAGGCCGCAGCTCTCTCCATTTCTGGTACTTGAGGTTCAGCAACTACCTCCTCCTTTATCTTCTTCACCACTTGCTCTGTCAAAGCACATTCCTGGATTGATTCCTGAGTGGTTTCTATATAAGTATTCACTGTTTGTCCAAAATTTCCAACTGCAACAGTCATCAAATCCATCTTCTCATGTAGCTGTTCCAGTAAAGCACTTGTCTTGCAAAAAGCAAGCACTAAAGCTTCTTCTGGGCACATTCTTGTTCAAGGTCGGTGTCTAGTTCCCACGATCTTTTATCTCTACAGCTGTAGAATTCCCCAGATCGACTCCAGCAACAGTTTCACAAGCTCCCTCTAGAGGAAACAATTTCTATTTGTATCTGTCTTTTTAAAAGCAGATCTAGCGACAAAGTTCCTTTCGTTTTCCAGATATTTTGTTCCTTTTAAGTGCAAAAGGGAACCTTGGAATCAATATGTTTCTCTTTTTTAACTATCTGTCAAAAACGTTTTGTCCACAGTCAATGAACTTCCCCAAAGTGTCTGTCTCTGACACCCCGCTCCCAGGATCAAGACGGTGGAAATTTATCTTTCTTTACTCTCTCTTCTGCAGGTTTAAACAGTCTAAAAGATTCCCCCTCTTCTCCTGCTTCCAAGGGGGGTTTAGTGATTTTAACTGATGGAAATTTAGTCCTTTACAAACGACTTTCCAGACTCTAGCTTGCAATGTCTTTGCTTCAATCTATTTACAAAAGTGGAAGGCGGACTTCCTGTTTAGACCTTCCCGCTTCTTAATCCAATTTTCCGTTCTACTCACGGGCAGTTGTTTAAAATCCAATTGTCCACAGGAAAAAGTCAGCGCTCTCCGGCAACAGCAATGCGGCTTCACTCCGTGAAAAAAGCAGTCGATTCAAAGCACCGCGCCATTCACCCCACGTCGCTCCGGATCCCCGAAACCGGGTTTCCCCGCAAGTAGGGGAGGCGCAAATGGTGCCAGCCGAATCCCACGTCCACAGGCTTCTCCCGCCTGTGGTTTTTAATGGGTCTCTGCCTCGCCGCGGCGGTCCAGACCCTAGTTCTCACGAAGCAGATTCCTCCTGGTCAGAGGAAATCCGCCATTGCCGGAGGCGCTAACTTGGAAGTCCCATTCATTCAAGTCATCCTAGGGTGCAATGGCACACTGGTTGAAAACCACTGTGTTAGGGGATGGAGGAAGGCCTTTTTTGGTTGTAACCTCATAATTATGAGGGTCTTTGCTGAAGACTTTCCATGCAAGCCAAATATGTTAGATATTTTGTGTTTCATCTTTCTTCTTTGTTGTGAATGAGGAGACAGAACTAAAGGCTCACAACAGTTCAATAAGTATTCAGGAAAGTAATGTGTTTGTACTGAATGCAAGTGGAGCTTGTAGAAGAATCTGGGGAGAAAAATATATAGCAGAGTTTTGGCAGAGATGCTAAAGAAAATTAGTGCTAACACTATTAGCTGAAGGAGTAAATGCTGACTGCCCTGTGTTGTAAAGGTTACACTTTTGTATACTCTGGCGGTTAGGCATTGGAATATGGTTGTGTGTTGGAGGGCAGGGTGTGGCCATCACCTACCCCTCCATTTTATGGGTATTCCGGTAAAGGAACCCGGCGGTCGTGGATCCTGTCTGACGCCCTTGCTGGTGGCTAGGGCCATGGCACGACCCCCGGTGACATCAGGGGGATCTTTCAGTTGTATTTGCATCAACAGGCTCCTTCCACTGGTGGTTAACAGTTGATAGACTCACCCCTCCCTGAGGGGCTGGAGTCATGCTCTGTTGTTTTATCCAATGCCTAAGCCAATACCCCTCACATGCTGTAATCAATAAAGTTGTGGGCTTTTTCAGCCCATTAACGTAATATACTGTGTCCATGTGTCTTTCTTATCCTCAAGCGGGTGGCGGGTCCTTGAATCACAAAGAAAATTAGTGCTAACACTATTTGCTGAAGGAGTGAAAGCTGATTGCCCTGTGTTGTAAAGGTTACACTTTTGTATATTCCAGGGGTGGGAGACTTGCACCCCAGTACAGACCTTGTCTTAATTTCATGAGGGTGAAAAGGAGGTGAAAAATAGCTAGAGGATAGCAGAAAAACAGGGGAAAGGGTGGCACAGAGCAAAAACTAATGGGTCGGCAGGAAAGGTGGGTGGAATGGTTTCAGTCCCACTGTCAGCATGCAGTTGTTAAGAGAATAAAGGTTAATCATCCTAAGCTATATACCTGGGAGTAAGTCTCCATCAAACTCAATAGGGCTTAATTCTGAAAGTATACTGTATGTATAGGATTCCACTTTAAGTCACCTATTTGTTTGACTTAATTTAAGAAAATGTATCTATAGTTTTAATCTGGTCCACATGTATGATTTGGCCATTTTAACCTACTTTTCTACATTGGGCAAAAAAAGCTATCTAAATCTCATTAATATATCAGCATATGCATTCAGTTCTAGCTGAGTAGGTTAATCTTGTAATAGATAATGCTTATACAGCAGCTGTAGTGATTGCAGAAAAGCTATAACAAATTACATTAAAGGTGTTGGAGAAATAAAGTAGGGACTTTTTATTATATGTACAAGAAGAAAGTGTCATATAATATCTCATTTTGACTAGTGGCCTGGCCTTTAGCAGAATATAAATATTATTGATATTGATGTTGCACCATGAATCACCTCTCGTTGCACTGGCTCCAGCAGTAGAACCTTTACTGTACATAGAAGGAAAAAACCCAACCATTATTTATTACTAAAAGCTAAATCTTTGATAAATTCTTAACAGGAATATGAGCTCACACTTCAGTTTCTTATCGTCTCACAAGATCATACACCTTCCCACCTTCAAGGCTAATACCATTAAAATACTAATAATCTTACTGCACCATTCAAAAACCAGTTATTGTTTTCATCTACACTCCTATCATGGAAACACCTGAAGCAGGTTGCTTCACTGTTGCATAGCAGGGACACTCCTAGTTTCATAATCACAAGCACAATTCAGGAGAGCTGCTTCTGTCTCTTGTTGTATTTTCTTTTAAATGAGCAAAATAAGCAGCACAAGGAGCAATGCCATTCATGTAACAACTGATAGCTGAAATATCATCTGCATCACTGCAAACATGCATAGCTGGTGTGGTCATTATAAACTTTTGGTATATTACTTGAAATAGCACAAAGCATAATAGGACAGACTTTCCTTACTTACCTCATGCAGCATGCTGTTGTAATAATTCTAACTCATGCAATCCTACATCCCAGCAGCTATGCATAGCTTTAGGCTTGTGATGTTCAAATATATATGAATTTTAAAGTTTCTTTACAGTACTCTATTTGTGGAAGTTCAAGTTATTAACCTTGCCCTTCAGTATTGTTCTGCTTTGTGCATCCCTGTATACCTTGGAAATGCAGCTTTGTGCTCAATATGCATATCCAAATAGTAGCTGATTTTGCAAAGCATTTGATGATGATGCCTGCTATATAGATGATCTCTGAGCTGTGTTTTTTCTAAGGGGTTTCTCCTTTTCTTTTTGTCTTGGTAAGCAAAATTATTCTGCAATGGTGAAAACAACTGAGGAGGTGTGTGTTCATGAGCTAGTGGAACATTTGGTGTGTTCCATGCAGAAGGAAAAAAGACAGCCTCAGTCTACAATCAGTAAAAAGCCACTTCCTCAGACCAGTCACTGTGACATCCCATTTAACAATATGTGACTACTCAAGAAGTATTTGAGAGCAAGCAGCTTATGGATTGCAGTCTAAGTACAATAGATACTGAGGAATAAGGAGGAGAAAGATTGTGAAAGAGAAATCAACAATTTAATGGGAGTGGGTGAAAGGGGCAAATAGTTAATAATGCTGTTGAAGACAGTCTATTTCCTTGTGAGACAGTGCTATTCCTGGTGCTGGATGAAATCTGGGAAGACCCTTCCCATTTTCATTTGTTCCAAATGGTATAGTAGTACACCATTTCATCTTTACTAATGCCCACTGAGCTATATTTATTAAATGTCTCTAATACTGCTCACAGAATGACACCACTATATTCATACATTTATGTGATTAACATGGAAATATTTTATTATAATTATCTGAGCCACCTAAAGCCTAATGGAGCCCTCACAGTCTTAGGCAGGTTAGTGTGAAATTTAATTTGCACTAATCTGCTAGGCTGATGGGTGTATTATAAATCAATGTGCAATGAAGGAAGGTAGTGTAGCTTAAACAAAAAAGGCTAGAAGTAAACAGACCTTGAATAGTATTTTCATAAAGGGATGACTAAAAGGGTGACTTCCAATTACGCATAGAGCAGTGAGTGACCTAATTTTTCTGTGCATCCAGGTGAGGTGAGAAGTCTGCTACATGTTTAATATGTTTCAAAATGAGGGAAAACATTCATTGGAATAAGGAGCCAAGTGATATGTTTTCAACTAGCCAAGCACATCCTATTCAATTTAGGACAAAACACCTACATGCATGTATACCCAGAAGTAAGACCCACTGAATTCAATAGGACTTATTCCCAGGTAAGAGTGTAAAGGATTGTAATCTTAGGCTGCACTCCTGTAGTCACCTAGAATTAATCCTCATTAAAGTCCCAGAAGTGGGACTTACTTCTGAGTAGACATGCATAGAGCTGTGCTGTTAATCACTTAATCATTGTGGGTTTCCATTCCTCAATTGGTAGATACCTGCTTCAATGCAAATTTGGTTTTATAAATACAGAACAATATTTTAAATATTTAGACCCATTTCCAGTGTCTAATGATAAAATAAAAACATCAGTTTAACAACAAATAATTAACAACAATAAAAAAATGAAAGCTGCAGATTAAAACTGCAACAAAAATGCGTAACACAGAAATGGTACACTTGAGAACAGAAACTTTTTGGTGCATTAGCACAGAATCGGTTGAAATCCCGAATGAATAAAATGGTTTTTGTGAGCCCAGGCTGCTGGGAAGGGGGCACAGAAAACAATACAAACAACATGACAATATATTGTTGTCAGGGGTTCAGGGACAGAGGCACAGGGTAGGCAGGAGATGGAGAGCGATGGGGATGAATCCCAGGCCAGCGAGGAAGAGGATGACAATGACTCAAGAGATTCCATGAGTCTTTCCAGCGAATCAGAGGATTCCCAGAAGGGGGCGCCGGTGGTCAAGGCCAGGGGAGCCCCAGGGGGGACGTGTCCGGAGCAGGGGGCCAGCGGGGGATCCCAAAGTGGCAGCTGGGCGTCAGGACCAGCCTCCCCACCAGAGTGCAGCGAAGGGGGTGGAGTTTCCAGTGTATCAGGGGAAGCAGCTCCGGCGGCAGAGAAGGGAGGGAGGTCAGAACAAGCCACCCTCCCGGAAGGGGAGGGGAGTAGTGAAGGGAGTAGTCTAACTGTCAAAAGGAAAGTTAGAGTTAGGGCGCGCGCCAAGTTCAAATGTAGAGGCGCGCGGAAGTACAGGGAGCCCGGAGGAAGGGCCAGGTCCCAAAGCCCGCAGGAGGGGGCAAGAGCAGTCTGATTCCACGTCAGAGGAATCCAGGAGGGGGGAAACCCCAGCGGGCAGAAGGACCCTGCGGAAAAGGAAAGAGAGAAAGAGGTGGAGCAGCGCAAGCCTCTTAAACTGGTGCAGGGGAGGGACGGATTCAGAGGGGACTTCAGCGGTCTAAGCGTAGGAGACGTAGGGCTGCGCGCCTCGGATGTGAAGCAAACAATGAACTGCAATAAACACTTTTGTATATAAGAAGAGATAGGCGTTGGTCTTTTGTGAGCTGAGACTTGAGGCAGCCCTGACAGTTGTGATCAAAATGACCACAACTTTATTGAATTCAGATGTCAATAGGTTTTGCCATAGGCGTTGAGTATACATATTGAATCAGCTGATTGTTGACTGCTCATTTAATCAGGGTCTATCCTGGATTAAGGATCCTCATATGATGCACATCATATACAGGTAATCTGTCTGGGATGCCATTTTGGGCGTTCTATGGCCCATTGGCTCCTTTTTGGGCACACAAACAGAATGGATTCCTCTGAATCCCTTTACATTTTCTCAGGCATTCCCCACCTCTCCTCTGACTATGAGAACACTAGAGTAGGAAATCAGATGCTGATCTCAGTTCTTAGAAAGGTTCATATGGCAGAAGGCAGGACTTCAAGAACCTCATTCCAAAGCTATCTTGGTATTTAAGGGTTAAAAGTTAAAATCATCACTTTGAGTGTGGTATCCCAGAACTCAACCTAGACAGGATGCCCAGATTGATGGTACCAGAAATGATTATATTGTCAATTGTTGAGATGTATAGGAGAAGTATAATAGATTGTGCTCCTTGCACAGGCCATCCAACTGGGTGACCAGGATGGTTTCAATTTCAAACGCAGGTCGGAAGTTAGATTGAAACGAATCTAGATTAGAGAAGAAAACCCTATAGCTTTCTAGATGTTGTTGGACTACAACCTGTACCATCTCTCACCACTTGTCATGTGAATTGGAGATGATGGGAATTTAAGTCCAATAACATCCAAAGGGCTACAGGTCCCTTCCTCATGTGATCTAGATAATCCATGTCATTGAGGAGCCAGTACACATCTCAAAACCTTGCCCTCACAAGGCAGGCTTGCAACTGGATGCACAGCAGCCTCCATCAAGAGAGCTTCAAAAGCTCCACCTAAAGAAGTATTCATTATCTGCTGGATCTATCTTGGCTGATAATATCTGGCAAGGGAAGTTTGACTGAAGTCCAAAAAGGGTCTGGGTCTACTTTAGGCCTCAAATAAGCTCACTTGTGGTACCCAACCTACCAGGGTGGGTGGCTCTTTTGTGCACATTTATTAGGCTTCCATAAGGTACTAACCTTCCATGATGCAGGAGCACTGGGGAGAGATTTACAGAGGGCTAGAATGAGATTTGAAGAAACCAGATGTGGCCTGTAGGGCATATACTGCCTGCCCCTGCTTTAAGCATTTTATTTATACTTTCTCTCCCTACCCCATTACCTGGGGTGTGCTGTGTGTGTGCCATATTTACAATGCCTAATAAAAGGCTGCTGCAGCAGGTAGCCTGGTCTTCAAGGTGCTCCAGTGGTGTAAGACTCATGATTGAAAGGCACTTTACAAGCCACAGATGAAAGGAACAATAGAACAGCCAAGTGCACTTATTAATAATTTATTTAAAAATCATACCTTTGATGGACAAGGCATTGTATGTGGGTTGTGCACAACTGACAGTATTGACATTATTGTAATTTTCAATTGGTTTTAAAAGACCAGGGGGCGGGGTGATGGTGTGGGAAACGCAATAGTCCAAGGGAGAAAATACATTGGGATAATTGTTAATAGAACTTGATTTATAGCTGTACTTCACTGTGTAGGTTCTTAAGACTCGCTGCAACTTCCCTTTTGTTTGGACTGATGAATAATTAATACCCAAAGCTTCTTATATTTCTTTACGGCTAACCTTTTGACCAGTGTGTTAGCTAAGCATTATGTTAGATTACTGATAGAGCTTGGAGGAATAATGATAGCAATCGTGATTGCAGCTATTGTTCGTATCATAGGGGTGGGTGGGTTATTAGGTTAGAAGCACTGAACTGGCTTTTTTAAAGGAATACCTTTGTAGGAAAAGAAATCAAGGTAAATGCCTTGGGTTGTTGTTTTTTAAGTTGGCTAGCCTTTCTTCCTTTCCAAAAAAGCAGAACTGGTCATTTTTCAGGGGTGGGGTGCTGATGATTTGGAGTGGACTTTAAAGAAGACAGACACCACGACCCTGGGGTTCAGCAATAGCTAGCACACCAAGTTAAGGCTGTGGTTCCTGGCTTTGAGCCTGATTCTAGTGCTCACTGAACCACATACCATAAGACCAAGCCTCATCAAACTGGATCCAGGGCTGTAACACACACCTTCCCCTAGACCTGAGGACCCCACATTACAAAAGGCGGGAAGCCATGAAACACAGAAGTGCCAGTCTCTACTTTTCCACAAGGGAGTGGAGTCTAGGAGGTATGGCATTGAGGTAGATGGAGCCTGTCTACACACCATACATTAAAAGTGAAGTGGGATATGTGATTCAAATGTATGCAGCCAAGGGCTCAAAGGGGAAAAAGTTCATTTCCAGTCCTTGTTGAAAAAAGTTACTCTCTAGGAGCTCTCCGTGGTGCTGATTAGCAACCAGTCCATCTTGCAGCAGCCTTGTCTTGTGGGCTGCTCTGGGTGTGTGTGTATTCCAGAACAAGAAAAATCCCACCACTACTTATCACCTATAAGTAAATGGTACCAGGATTTAGTTGCATACAGACAATGTGGAGGGGCAGCTAGTAACTAGCCCCTTCACATTGTTTGAAAAGTTAATGTAGTAGGCAGTTTTGCTGGCTCATTCTGGCCCATTTTGCTGAAGCATACAGCCTTCCATTATGCCCATTCATCCAGTTTGGGGAGATCCTTTTGCAGCTGCTCATAATCCCCTTTTGTTTTTACAACCCTGAACAATTTGATGTTCTCAGCAAACTGGCCTCACTCCTGGATAATTTACAAACAAGTTAAAAAGCACCAATCCGAGCACACAGACGTGGGGTACGTCCATGTCTGCTTTATCCCTTAGGTGTTATGGCTCACAGAATTTTGATTTATGAGCATATTATTACTACTTTGTGGGCCTTAATACAGATGTTCTCTCCCCCTGACATTTGTTCATGCACTTGGGAGTTGTTTTAAAGTGAAGGTGTCTGATCCTATTATAGTTGGTCAATCTCTCTCATAACATTTTCCTTACTGTCTGTTTATTTTTTATATTCTCATAAAGCAATAGCCCTTGTTTCCCTCAGTGGTTTCTGCTCAACTGCAGAGATATATTTAGAATTTACACTTTTCTATCATGCCAGAAAAGATCAGTGACCCATTACCCAGCAAAGATGAGATGAAGCAACTGGATCAAACTGAAGACTGAACTTTCCAAAAGAGACCCAATCCATCTTATTTCTGCTTTATGGATAGTACGGAAAACAAAACAGTCCCATCCAGAGATGGTTGCATGCAGAAAGGTCTGGTTATGAGACAAGGCATGGGTTCTGTCTAATCAGTGCTGTGAAAATGGAGATTGTGTTGGCATTTGATTGAAACACATGTTATAAAAATAGCAGGGGAATCTGCTTGTGGAAGCAGCTTTTATATGCATAATATTATATTATATATTATAAAATATATAATATATAATATATAATATATAATATATTATATATTTTCCTTGCTGGGCTGTGGCTCATCTTTTTAATCCCGCAGGCCAAAATTCTATATTCCAAGAAGCTCCCCCAAACCTCTCACCCTTGGGAGGTGAGACTTGTGTCAACTAGGGCTAGGTTCTTTTCTGTTGTGGCACCTACCCTATGGAATGCCTTGTCGAGTAAGGTCCATCAGACCTCGTCACTATGCTGCTTCAGGTACTTATTGGCAATTGTTTTTTAGTTTTTTTAAAAGATCTATGGTTAATTGTAGGGTGTATGGGGTGTTAGGGGAGGGACCTAGTGGGGGACATGTCATGCTCCTTCTGGGGTAGTATGCCCACCTTTGGACCCCACCCTGCACTCAGCTCTCACCTGTGGCTCCTAGAAGCTGTCAGCATGCGACAGCAGCCACACCCCAGGAATTGGCTTCATCTGGTTGGCTAAACCAGGTGAGGGTAGTGGATGGGTCTCAAACCCTCGGTGAGTTAGGGACTTCCTTTGCTATAGAAGACAGGCTCTGGTGGATTGAGCAAATGAGACCAATAGTGGTCAAGAAGGTGGCTACTGCACATGCTGTAGAGGGAAGTGTGGGGCAGATGGTGCCTGGGAAGGGAGCCCATCTAGGAGAAGGAAAACTGATCCTAAACCTCTGCTGCCTTTCAGGATATCTTTGGGAGAAGAAAGTGCCAAGGAGTAAATCCTACACAAACCTGGAGTCTCTAAGATGATTGGATGGCATCTTGTACACCTCCTTCCAGCAACTCCTGCAGCCAAGCTGGTGCCAAATGTATTGCTCTGCTTTCCTTTGGGTCTTGTCAACTGGGCAGCCCCTGAACCTCCATACAGCCCTGGAAGTTTGAAAATTTAGTCTGAAAATTATGACAAAATATTGGAGTGGATTTGGCACCAAACTAGTGCCAAATGTATTGCTTTCCTTTCCTTTGGACCAGATCTGTGAGGCCGAGAGGTGGGTTGGTTTGTTGTCTGGGCGGCCCAGGACCTTCATAAACACTGCCCAGACTTGCACAGAGGTTTGACTTCACCTCTGGAGGTGCACTCCATTGTCTCTCGAGATAATGCACTTAATTTAATGAATTAATAATACCCAACCTGTTTAATAAATTCCAGCGGCAGACAAATAACAGAACTGAGCCTGCAAAATTATGCAATTAACAATATTGTTGGCATCCGTCTAAGTGCATACTTTCTTTTTCCAGGGATCACTTGCTTTATTCTTTCTTTATTCTTTGTTCATTAGCCACCTTTAGTCCTTTTGAAGAAATAGGTACATTAAAACATTGTTGTTGTTTAGTTGTTTAGTCGTGTCCGATTCTTCGTGACCCCATGGACCAGAGCACGCCAGGCACTCCTGTCTTCCACTGCCTCCCGCAGTTTGGTCAAACTCATGCTGGTAGCTTCGAGAACACTGTCCAACCATCTCGTCCGCTGTCATCCCCTTCTCCTTGTGCCCTCCATCTTTACCAACATCAGGGTCTTTTCCAGGGAGTCTTCTCTTCTCATGAGGTGGCCAAAGTATTTGAAAACATTAAAGTAAGAAATCTTACATGCCTTTTTTTGGGGGGGGGGTAGGGGGCACCAGAGCTCAGTGGTAGAGGACATGCTTTGAATGCAGACTCCCTGGCCTCTTCAGTTAAAAGGTTCCAATAGCAGGTGATATGCTGCACTGCCTGGAGAACTGCAGTCCAGCACAGCAGACAATGCCAATCTAGATGAAAAAATGGTTTAGCATGGCATAAGTCTGTTTCCTATGTTCTTTTTCGTCGTTGTTTTTTGTTTGCTCTGGTCAAAGTGGATGTAATGCAACCTGCACTATTGGAATATACCCAGAAATATGGCAGGAATCCAAATCTACTCTGAATTTAAGAATTGTTGTTGTTTGAGAACACAGGGATGATTCTCTGATTCTAATTACATCTACCACTGCCCATACACATGCTTCTTTATCTTTACTCTTTTTAAAATTGTGAATGCTGGACTTAGATGACGGCTTTCTCCATCACAAAATATAGAACTCATTTTTTAAAGCTTAACTTTCTTGAGCGATTACACAATTTCAGTAGTTGAACCTTGAAGAAGCAAAGTGAGTCTGTCAATATAATTTTTATGGTTGCAAGAGGGCACTTTTCCTGCCTCTTTGGATCTCTTGCAAGGACTTCTTCCTAGCAGGGAGCTAACTGGTTCAGTGGTAATAATGTATCTCAGAGGCTTGTATAATACTTTTCCCCATGGTGAGCTGATTGCAGAGTTCCAAGATTTCTATTTCCTCTGATATGTTTGAAAGACACTTTACATCCCATTGTTTCTTGCATGAGATAGATAAAGCGTAATGCCTTCTGCTTTCACTGAAGCTATTCAGCACTGACAACTTTGAGCTATTGTTTCTGTACTTACGCCATGTAAAGCATTTGAAGCCTTCACACCAGCATTTTGTATTACTTGCAGGGATTCATTTGAAATGCAAGGTCTGTTTGTCCTTGTTGATGTGAATGGGTAATTAAAGTCAATTAAATAGAAGCCATGCAAAATAATGGGCTTGATTCCTAAATTTTGGGAAATGGATCTCTTTTTAAAATAGTCCATTGAACAACCTTACTTTAAATTCTGCAGTAATCTTTTATCTCATCATGTTTCTAAAGAGAGCAGCTTCTGTATCCTTTCTGTGCCTTCTTATATTTAGTATAAATGATGGTATAGGCAAGGATAAAATAAGACCCTGAAATGGTTGCAAACCAAAGAGAATGTGACTAATTCTATGCATCCATCTGCCCTTTTATCTTTCTTCCCCCAGCTATACAACATTATGGTATGTTTTAAACCAACGGAGCTTCCAAAGAAATGTTGAAAGATGTGTGTAAACCCTGTGGCACACCTAAAGAACTTTCCTGGATAGCAGCCATTGCTTTAAGAATCAATATTTAAAGAGGAATTAGTGTATGTGGTTTTCATAAAAAGAAAGGATATGCCATGATTGCATATAGGCTGAGGAAATGCCCGTGAAGTCTGGTAGGGGAAGTGGGAGAGGAAGAAAGAGAAATCATGGCTATGAATGAATGAATGAATGAATGAATAAATGCCACAAGCATAGCTGGGCCTTGCTATGGTCAACTTGCCGTTGCAATTCTTGGCTTTCCTGTGGGACCCCACTGTGTGTATCACCCTCTGGATGAGAGCCATGGGTTTCAGCCTTACATTCCCACTGTTTTTCTATAAACCTCATTATGTTTGTTTTTATCAAATAAAGAAATGAAAACAGATTTGAAATTATACAGCTATTTATAGAATGACACATTCTGGCTACTCTCTCTGTGTGAGAGAGGGATTGAGTGCTGAAATAAATGATCAGGAGAATCACATGTGTGGGATATGGATTAAGACATAATTGTGATAGAGGGCCTTGTATTTATTTTCTCTTCTTTCTCTCTTCTTCTTCTTCTTCTTCTTCTTCTTCTTTATTTTATTCCTTTGCTTATTGTTGCTTCTTTCCTATTTATATTAATTTGATTGGTTTGCTTTTTATTGTATTATATGTTGAAAACTCTTAATAAAAATGATTTTTTTAAAAAGAGAATCATAGGATGAAGTTTTGCTTGGGTTCATCTTCAAATGGCAGAACTTTGAATGTTCCCATACTAAAATATCACTGTATTCAGAAAACTAACAGGTTAAGTGGAAAAAAAGATGCACCATGTGATTCTCTGGAGCATGTGTTTTATCTAACAGGTGTGCACTTGCACACACATTCGGAGAATGTGCTTGGTATTAATTGGTTGCATAGTTTTTGAATTCATTGTTGGCTGGAAGTCAGTGTTGTGCTATGATGACCACTTCAGCAGCATAAGCATTTATGTTGCCAGAAGAAATGATCTCCCTTCTTCCCCTGCATGCTTATCATAACCCTCCAGAGTGGATTTGGGGGAGGTGTAAGGGGGCTCAAGGGGAGGAGAGGGAAGAGCCCTGTTGCACCAGTGGTAGTCCTTGTACTGGCTTCCACAAGTGCACCAGGTTAGTTGAATCCACCCGGAACCTCTAATAATGGTTACTTACTTTAGAAGTAGAAGGAAGACAGAACTTGTGATGAACAATCATTTTATCTCATTGTAGTCATGATCATGTATGGTCCTTTGAGAGAAATGATGGATCAGCAAGAAGTCAGGGCTCATGGACTTATAACTCCCTTTTCAAAGTTCTGTTTGCCACCTCAAAGGATGCATATCCTAGTACAGTTCCTTCTGCTGGAATTGCAAAGGGAGGAACGTGCCTCAAGAAATGACCCTTAGATGGCAGGTTCATTGGAAGAAAAGAGGAATAGAGTCCTCTATCCTTTCCCTGTTAAGCTCTCACAAGGCAGAGTCTGTCCTTTGTTGTAACAGAACAATATATCTATATATTCCTGTTGCTATTACTAGCCTCATTTATATTTATGAGTTAACATTGCAAAACAATTGCATGTGAAGATTAACCTTTTTGTTTAAAATAAAACATTAGGTGCATGGGCACCACTGATTTAAATTATGCAGGTCAGATACAGCCTGCTGGCTTCTCTTTGTTGGCCTTTCACAGCCTCACATTCCCCCTGTTCCTCAACAGTTTCTGCCAATCAGCTAAGGAGAGGGGAGGCTGAAGCTGTGACATGCACTGTGGAAGGGAAGCCTATCAAGGAAGCACAATCCTGGCAAATTTGAGGGTGGAGGATATGGATGTAGTCTTGTGTCCGTGGATGGATGTGTGTGAATGGCACATCCATGTGACTTTGACCCTGCTCATAGCTGGCATGTGGTTATCCACAAGATAATGCAGGCCTCATGAAGAAAAAGATCACTGACCTCTGACTCAGAGGCAGAACAAGGTGGGGCAGACCGCCCTGGGTGTCATCTCCGGGGTGGGGTGGGGTGGGGTGGACATTCGGCATGCCACCTGCCCATGACTCCAGCCTACCACAATCTGTCTGGGGAAGGGGTGGAGCTGTGCAGTCCCACACTCCTGGGCTGCTGGAGGAGGCATGCAGGCATGCAGGGAGAGGACGTAAAGGAGAAAGGCAAGCAAAGAAACAGAGGGTGGAGGGACCCGAACCCTGGAATCCCAAAAAAAGCTCAATAACTCTTTGGTCAATCCTTCCCTTAAAAAAGGTCAACAACTCCTGGCAATGACAATGGGTAGATCACAGGCAGTCTTTTTATACTGTGAGTAGATCGCTGTCTCTTGGGAGTCGAACTAGATTTCGGGGGGGGGGTTAAAAGAAATTTTCTGCACCGGGTACGACCTGACCTTGCTATGCCACTGCCCTGACTTAAATTAAAGGTATGTGTGCTGTGAGTTTCCAGTTAGTCCTGGAAAGTTTTGATTTCCCTCCTGCCCCAATGTATGCCATCTATGCCAAAACATCCTTGAATGATGATGATGATTATGATGAAGAAGAAGATTTAACAGCTTTGCTAAAAGACCAATGGAAACAGACCCTCATATATATATGAGCCTTGGATCCATGCAGTTGTTTCCTTTAATGGATCCTTGAAAAGCAGCTAGGCAGAGGAGAGTCTTGACTTTTATCAATGGACCAAAGTGAGCTGCTTATGTGAAGGATGACCTAGAATTCATATTGACTGCTAGTGTAATATAAAACTGAGGAGTAAACCTCCTTCCAGAAAGGTTTCCTTTCCTTTTATGACTAGAGGTGTAGAAATAGTGCTATTTAAAGTGGATGAGTACAGCCATTGTCTGAAAAACATAAAATAATTTGTACTTTTACAGGTAGCGGTGCAGCAAGATGAAAGGCCTCCTTTTAGATCTAATTGAACTTGAATGACTGCCAATTAAGTTAAGAGCGGCAACCACAGTGTGCTTATTGCACATTTCAGTGTCTAGTAAAAACCAACCATAGGGAAGGGTGAGAGTGCAATTCTTTGAGACAGTGACCCATGGAAAGGAAATTGCAAAGGCCACAAATTCAAATAAGCCTGCAGTTCCAATGCATTCTTCTAAATCATTTTGCAAGTTTATATGGGTGAAGTCAG